GTCATGTTGGAACAGAGTAAGAAGCGTAAACTTTAGGGTTCTTGAAGTATAAGGAATGTGTGTATATATATACGATCGAGGGTCCTTTAGGTATCATTTCGTAAAAAGAAACAAACACAAATGATTTAATTTTCAATTCAAATATTTATTGCAAAAAGCATTTGTAAATTAAAAATTGATAGATTTTGATGTTTTATTTATTTTTTTAAAAAGATTTATTTAATTTATTCAATTTTTCAAATTGTAACTTAAATATATTTAAAAGTTAAAATATGTCTTTTTGTTTGTGGATTTGGCTATTTAAAAAATTAAATAAATTAAATAAAATAAATAAAATAAATAAATTAAATCGACGTGTATATATTTGTTTAATTTATTTATTTTTTTAATTTACAAAAGGCTTTTGTAAATTAAAAAAATAAATAGATTTTGATGTATTTTTTTTATTTAAATTTACAAAAGGCTTTTGTAAATTAAAAATTGAATAGATTTTGATTTATTTTTTTAATTTTATTTAATTTTTTTTAATTTACAAAAGGCATTTGTAAATTAAAAAAATAAATCGATTTCGATCTATTTTTTTAATTTTATTTATTTTTTTTAATCTATTTAATTTTTTCAATAGCCGGATGCCACTGAGTCACTCTATTAAATATAATTTTGTTTTTATTTTTAATTTACAAAAGGCTTTTGTAAATTAAAAATGTAAAGTAAAAAAATACATAGATTTTGATTTATTATTATTATTTATTTAATCTAATTTTTTAAATTGTAAATTAAATATATTTAGAAATTAATATATTTCTTTTTGTTTGTGGATTTGGCTATTTAAAAAATTAAAAAAAATTAAATAAATTAAATAAATTAAGTAAATTAAATCGACGTGTATTTATTTTTTTAATTTATTTAATTTTTTTTTTAATTTACAAAAGGCTTTTGTAAATTAAAAAAATAAATAGATTTTGCTTTATTTTTTAATTCTATTTATTACTTTTTAATTTACAAAAGGCGTTTGTAAATTAAAAATTGGATAGATTTTGATTTATTTTTTT